GTGTGTGTGTGTGTGTGTGTGTTAGGAGTGTTTCGGCGGCAGCTCGGTGTCCGTCCCTGAGATGGAGGGAGTGTTGTGGCTGAAAGAGGACGGGAAGAAGTCGTGGAAGAAGCGCTACTTCCTGCTGAGAGCCTCTGGCATCTACTACGTCCCCAAGGGCAAAGCCAAGGTGTGTGTGAGACACAACAACAAAAAAGATTTGATTTTAAAAAAAAGACAAATATCTATTTTACCAGTGAAATAAATGATATTTACATTAAGTGTGTGTGGTTTTTTTTTTTTAGGCCTCCAGGGACCTGGTGTGTTTCCTCCAGTTGGATCACGTTAACGTTTATCTGGGTCAGGGCTACAAGAGCAAGTACAAGGCTCCCACAGATTACTGCATGGTGCTCAAGGTACTTTCACACACACACGCATTCGCAGCGACCAACAAATGTGATGGGAAACATGACCGACTGCTACTGAGCTGTAATCCTACGCTGCTCCTTAGTGGTGCGATGGAGAAATTACATCTATGACAGATTTTTAAATTCTGCACCAAATCCATGTAAATCATCTACATCCAGGTTTTACTTGGATCTGCCCCCAAGTTGCACCGACTCATAAAATATCAGTCTCTTATTTATTCCTGATTCTTCATCAACACCCTGAGAAAAAGTCAGAGAAACGCCAGATCCACATCTGCACGGAAATGAAATGGGTTCATTGTTGTGTCTCATCTTTCCAAGAGGTTTTGTGGAAATTTGAGACACAAACAGACAATGTTGAAAACACACAAATATTAATTTTATATATTTCACAGGAAATGCAGCCACAATAATAACAGAGCAGTATTTTTGTTTAGTTTATTAATACTGCAGCTTTTGCAGCATAAATGGAGTTTTAGTCGGAGTACTCGTAGTAATTTCCATCGTCATTCTTATCCTCTGAAGTAAAATGTTGTGTGTGTGTGTGTGTGTGTAGCACCCTCAGATCCAGAAGAAGTCACAGTACATCAAGTACCTCTGCTGCGATGATGTCAGAACACTCCAACAATGGATCAACAGTATTCGTATCGCCAAGGTAACAACTACACCCGTCATTAAAGGATCAATGTTGCTCCATCACGTGTTTGCTCTTATGTCCATGTTCTCTGCGTCTCTGTGTTCGTCAGTATGGGAAGCAGCTGTACATCAACTTCCAGGAGGCGATGAGGAGAACGGAGGCGGCGTACGATTGGTCCTCCCTCTCATCTTCCTCCATCAAGTCGGGATCCAGCTCCTCCAGCCTTCCAGGTCCGTTCACCTCTTTTCACAGACACAGTCATCAAGTGGAAAATCACTTGGAATATATTTTTGATTGTTGGTGAATTGTTTCGGTCCAACTTTGAATATTGAATATTTTTAACAAACCTTAACTTCTGTTTGTCCGAACCTCAGAGTCTCAGTCCAACCACTCCAGCCAATCAGACAGCGGCGTTTCAGAGATGACGTCAACAGGCCACACCCGCTCCCAGAGTGGCGTCAGCTCCATCTTCTCTGATGCCTGGAGGAGAGGAACGCAAGGAGAGGTGAGAACACACACACACACACACACACTCCATCCTATCCTGTCATTGTCCTGTTTCCTTGTGGACTACATTACCCATGTTTCCCCTCTGCTTCCCTGCCAGCAGTCAAAAGTGAAGGGACGTATGCCAGTTCCTCTTTGTGCAGGAGGAGGAGGGAGTGGAGGTTAGACAGGAAGTGATGTAACAGGCATGTTAACAGTTCGGCTGCAGCTTTTAAAACGCTGATCAATTCCAACGACAACTGATTCTCCAGTTCAGCTTCACCGAACTTCGAATAAACCTGGTGAACAGCTGTTTGTGCAGCTTCAGGGTTCAGCGGCAGCTCTTTGTTTGCTGCAGGTCACTTCCACACTTCCGGAAAGAAAAGCTGCGACCGAACCAACAGCTCTTTCCAAACGGACACAGCACTCGTGTTTAGAAAGTCACACACAAAATCAAGAGCTGTGTGTTCTACTCTTGAGTGAATCCGCTGATTTTAAACGGCTGCAGCCGAACTGTTGATTTGTTCTAACCTCGTGGTGTGACGGAATGTCCTAACCAACAAATAACAAAACAGTTTGGATCGTTAAGCATTTTGAATTAAGTTTATAATCTGTTTTATATGATGATGCCGGGTTTAGAACAGTGCAGGATGAGGTTACCTAAAGGTCTCAGGTGTTCCAGAGAAGAACATCAACTCACCGATCTGTTCATGTTCAGTTCCAGAAGATATTTGAAGATGTTTGAAACTAATTAATCGTCTGTTGTACGTAAAGAACGTTCTGAATGTGTTTGACCTTTTTCCAACGTTGCTGTTTGGAGTTCTTGTTCTTTGACTGCACTGGTTTGTTGTTTGAGTTCTTGAATCTTGTTTAGGAATGGGTTCCAGTGGCATTTCTTTAAAATTCAGTTCTGAATGAATCGATTTGGAACCCACTCCTAATTTGTCCTTGATTGTTTGTTTTACATAAACGTGACCACAATGCACCTGTTTAATACTTGTTGGCGTCTTTCTCTTGTGTCTCTTTACCTCCGTCTTCTCTCCATACTTTTCCTCTCTTTCTTTCCTCTGTCCAGATGATGAGGATTGACCCTATCAGTCGGCCTATTCCTCTCCATATACCCACCATGTCCCCGCAGCCTCTTCCGCTCTCTCAGCCTCAGACTCCGCCCTCCCGGACCAGCTACACTGACGGCCTTGTCCCATCGGATGATTCCTCCCCGTCGCCGCCCTCGCCTCCTCCACCTCCTCCCCCTCCCCCTGCGGTATGTGTGGCCCATCAGCCAGCACCTACCACCTCATACGTCAAGTACAGCACGCTGGCTCGCCTGCAGAGCCAGAACCAGTCCAGGACGCCGCTGCCGGGAGCGACGCCAGCTGCCATTCCCATTCAGTCGACCAAACCAAACTACAATACTCTTCCAGCTGTTTACAGCACCTCCCCTCCATTACCACCATCTCCTCCCCCTCCTCCTCCCCCCACAGTACCAGCTCCTGGCTCAGCCATGGCTGCACTAAAATTTGGTCCACCAAGCCCCTGCTCCGCTCTCCCACCACCACCACCGCTGGATGAGGAGGAGCAGGAGCACGCCTACCTTCCGCCTCCTCCACCGGAGAGCCTGGAGGCCAATGGGTTGCCGCTCCCTCCTGCTCCAGAGCACATCCCCGACTCGTGTCCCCAACTCACCAACACTGGGCTCCAGCAGTTCCTGGCACAGAAGTTTCCCAACATGGTGTACAACTTTACCACAGAAGAATACGATGAAAATTGTCCTCCTCTTCCACCTCCAGCTGGACTCTCTCCTCCTACCTCCCTGCTAGCTCTTCGGCCTCTCTCCCCCAGCGGACCCCCTCCTGCACCTCCCAAAACCTTTACTGGTGGTTTTCCCCCTCAAACTGCTCCTAAACCTTCAGGTCCCTCCTCCCTTCCTATCGCCCTGTCGCCTGTGTCTCCAACGCCACCGCAAAGCAGCCAAGGGTCGTTTAAAAAGCAGCAAAGCTTCTCAACGGGACATTCCCCCAATCAGCCACCTCCGACTCTTCCAAAGCAGCACAGCCTCTCCTCCAAAAACCTCACCATCTCTCCTTCGTCCTCCTCCTCCTCTGTCTCCATTGCAGCTGCTACCTCCTCTTTGGTCAAACAGATTGTCAATCAGTTCCCGGGAAATGCTGCCTCTTCCTCCATCCCTGCCTCCAACTCCATGGAAGGCTCCAAGTTCAGCACTCCTCAGTCTCCTCCAGCGGTCAAGGCCAAACCAAAGTGGCAGCCAGGAGGCGTTGTGGCTCCACAGTCACCAGAGTTCCCCCCACCTCCTCCAGACAACCCCTTAGGAGATTTCCCTCCTCCTCCGTCTTCATCCTCCTCTAAGTCGGGCTCCCCTATAAAGAAGTCACCTTCCACCTCATCTACAGGTTCCAACAAGCGAGGGCCTCCGCCAGCTCCTCAGAGAGCCTCCTCCATGCGGTCCAATTCAGGCGAGGTCCAAGACGAGAGGCCAAAGAAGGTGGAGAGCCTGGTCAACAAATTTGGCCAAGCTCCTCAGACGGGTACCTCATCCAGCTCCTCGTCAGCGACTGGGTCTCCTTCTAAAGATTCCTCTGTGCTTCCTGCTCCGCTCCCGAAGCCGGGGAAGCTGAATTTGGCGAATCTCCCGCTGGTGCTCCAGGGGCTGCAGACAGGCCAGCACCATCAGCCACCGACAGAGTTCCCATCCCCTCCTCCCCCACCTCCACCTTCCCAGCCGACTAACCTCGACTCCTCTCCCGACTACTTCCCGCCTCCCCCCAGTGACTCAGAGCTCTTCCCTCCTCCTCCTCACCCGTCAGAGTTCCATCACCCCCCGAAGGTCGCTGTGGTGAATCCCCAGCCTCAGATGCAGCAACATCAACAGTCGGCGACGCCCACCTTGTCGTCAACGTCATGGAAACAAAGCTCCCTGAAAAAGGGGGCAGTCCCTCCTCCAACACTGAACCGGTGGAGCAGCAGCACAACTCAGTATGACAATACGATTTCAATGCCGCTCTCACCGCCTCCTCTGTCTCAGACACCACCTCCTTCTCTGTCCTCTTACACGTCCTCCTCGTCCTCTCCTGTCCCACCCACCTCCCCGAAATCAGCCGGGCCGGTCTCCCTGGCACTGAAGCCTCACTTCCTGGAAGACCTCAACCGCACCCTTAAGAGGAAGTCGGTGTCTCGCCACGGCTCCCTCACCTCCTCCCACCTCATCCCCTCCTCAAAGATGGAGCCCGTGGGCACCATGGACGACATGGCGCTGCTGCCGCCACCTCCTCCGGAGCTCATGCAGCAGCAGCAGGGGGTCCGAGGACACTCCCAAACTCTGTCTCGCCACCACACGCACTCCCACTCCACCAAACATGCCAACATCTCAGGCTATGCAACGCTGCGGCGAGGCCCGCCTCCCGCTCCTCCGAAAAGGGACCAAAGCACCAAACTGACCAGTGATTGGTAGGGAGCGAGGACACTGGGTGGAGCCTAAACAACTGAACTGACTATTTAGGACTCATCGTTTCTGCAGAGAAGAAATAATCAATGTCTGTCTTGACTTGTCCGTCTCCCCTCATCCTAAACCATCCACACTTGGATTTCTGAGCAAGTAGCAAGCTGTGTTTCCTACTCTTAATCTCAGATAACGATCGTTCCTATTATCCTCATTATTACTGTCATTACAATACATGTTTAACCCAATGACATGAGTAAAAAATATATATGTATATATATCTGTATACAAGCAAGCCAGAAAAATCACCAATCAAGCTTTTTTCACAACGTCTGTGCAGCTTTGCATTGAAATATACAAAAGACGAGACGGAGACAATTTGCTGCAAAATAACTGGTACTGCATGGAGCCGTAACGTTACCGACGAAGGGAAGGAGAGATTTAACGGAAGGATGCGAACGTGAGATGACGTGTACAGAAATGTTTGGGGGTGGGGGGGTGGGGGGGCAGGGCACTCTTAGAGGGAGCATTGCCATTTATTTCAAACCTTTTTGTGTGTGTGTGTTTTTATATAAGATTATTTAATACTGGAAAGATATTGTTATTATAATTATTTGAAGTTTTTAAGAAGTGTCAGATGAGAATGAGTTTGACTGGACGTGTATTCTCAAAATACTTAGAAAGTGTTGATCTGGTTTCTCAGTTTATACTTGGATCGTTTGATCTGAACGTATTTCCTTTGAATTTACGGTTTCGTGGCTGATTGGCGACTTGGATTTAACGAATACTTCCCGTAAGGTTGTGCTCAGATTACAGGAGGTTTTAAATCAGTTTGTATGAAGAAAATATACCAGAGGGAAGTATAACATTCTTTTCATGTCTTCCCTTTCCTCTGTGAAGTTAGAGGTCTTGCACATTTTCATTTCTCTCAGTTCTCCAAATTAAATTTGTTTCTATCGGAGTTATCTTGACCAGAACCTCCAGTCGTCTGAGTTCAGCCTTCACACCTCCGTCAGTCAGCGACATCAAACCAATGTTTTCATGACAGTCCTGATCTCCCACCCTGTTTACACGGACTCAGCTTTGCCGTCGGTGTTTGTTGGCTTGTAGACCAAGCGGCTAGTCAGCTCCAATGAACTCTGTCTGAACGAAGGTGATCATCACTTTGCTAGTGAATAAAATCAGTCAATTGTTTGTCATCTTAATGGCTCGTCCATCACTTTGCATGTTTATAAGAAGGGGGAGCGTCTTCATTGTCCCGAGGAAGAAGTGCCTGAAAAGAACTTTGTATCGTGCAAAGGATTTAACGTCGATGGTGCCACCTGAAGTTTAGGTTCTTCATCCACACACTGGGATCGTTGTCAGATGAAAAGCAGCTTTAGTAGAATTAACATGAGCGAGAGACAACATCCTCCTCTTTAGGTCTTAATTTCTCATTAACCACCATTATAGCTCATGTCACTCTCTCTAGCGCCCCCTCAGGGTCAATGGCAGAAAACTGACCACATACACAGACCTCATGCACCTGCAAGAAATTATAGTTAATCTCACAAATTTAGAATTTATAAAGTAGCTCAAGCACAGAGGTGGAATACCGACAGATAATTTAGGTTTTCTGCATCAACTGAAATAAATACCTGGTTTATCCGCATGGTTTATACTTCAACTAGATAAAGGTCAAGGAAAGGGCGCCACCTGCTGTCAGATCTGTCATGAAGAAGCAAAAATCATGGATTGACAAATAAA